TTGTTAGAGACAGGGTTTCTCTGGGTAACAGTCCTGACCGTCCTGGTACTCATTCTGTAGACCAGGCTGGCCTCAAACTCACAGAGATCCTCCTGCCTCTGCCTCCCAATTGCTGGGATTAAAGGTGTGTACCACCACTACCTGGCAAGATTCTTACTCTTTAGCCATTGCCTCTGTCTTTCCAATTCACCATCTCAAGTCCCCCAACATAAATAGTTTTTTTTTTGAATGCCACCGGGACCTAGAATCCAATGACTCTACAATTTCTGGGGAAATATTAGGGGTAGAACCCAGGGCTGCATGAATGCTAGGCACGTGTTCTTCCACGGAGACACAACCGCACCCTCTTACCACCTTTTCTCGTCCTTTCCTCTCTTCCATCCTTTATCTTTCCCAGTGCATCTAAAACTCCACAGCTGACATTATGTTACCACACCACACCCTTCTGTCTCCATCTGATGGAGGAAGGAAAACACGCAACTGAAGGAAAACACGCAGTGGTTCCCAGTGTCCTTGTTTCAGTTTAATGATCATGAACTTCAAAAGCGCTTTTAGTGCTAAAAAAAAACTTGTCTTATTCCTTTAGTTGTCTCTTCTGGATGGCTGTCTTATTCTTTCTCAACCCCGGCATGCCTAACTTTTGCCCCAGCTCATGAATTTGATTCCTGCTCAACTTCTCTCTCCAGTAATCTTTTCTCCGTCTTCTTCGTTTTTGATTCCTCAGTAGTAATATTCTGCATAGCTGAACATTCCTTTCCCACTGAAAGCTTTTCCCTTGGTTTTAAAGTTCCGCCATCCTCTTGATTTCCATTTGTTTCACTCCTTCTCCTTTACTGTGTTCCTTCATCTCCCTCACCCCAAGGACGTCAGTGAAGGGCAGAGAGGGGCCCAAGCTCCAGTACCCAAACTTGACTTATTTGTTTGTTTGTTTCTACATTTTTGCATTCTACATCCATGGTGAGCACATCTAGTCTCAGAATTTCAAATCCCACCTATAGTTCCAGTTCCCATGCTTTGCTTCTGAGTCTGTCTCTTTTTCTTAATTGAATAAATGTACTCAGCATCCCCCTCCAGTGGCTCACGTGGGTTTCTCCAAAGATGCCCCCTAAGGAAACCTAGACAAATACGAATCTAACCATTCATGCTCTGTGACGACCTGACTTTGCAAACTCTATTTTAAAGAAGGGGCTTCATCTTAAGTCATATAACGGGGTGGGGGAGTGCTGATCTCCGCTCCAGAGATGTGCCGCAATAGGCAGAATTTGAATGGATACTCTAAAAGTAGTCAGTTAAGGATCTAGGGAGCAGGGCTATAAAATTTAACAAGGTCCAGATGTTCCTAGGAGGCATCCTGTCCTCGAAGATTCCTTGTCAGTTATTAATGGCTCTTTGTTAAGGTTTTCACGCCCAAACACTGACCAATGGTTTCAGAAAGTACTTGACCCTATGCCCTCCTTACCCAATCCCCAGACAACAGGACATGAATTTGCCTGATTACAGTGTTTCCCCTTTAGACGTTCGCCCCTCCCCAGGCTTGCCTCCACACTTTGTGCACCCACCACACTGGGGTACTCTGGAAGGGTGTGGTCCAAACTCGAGTTTGTATATTAAGGACCTTCATGTAATTTGCATCGGAATCCGGGTTCTGTGAATTCATTTAGGGATAAGTAACTTGGGACAACACCTCTTGCTGAGAGAAATCTTAGTGATCATGGGCTCCTCTCTTTCCCGCACACCCTTCACTTACTGTTTCAACAAACCTTTGCTCTGCCTTCAGAAATGTAAACACGATCCAGCCTCTTTTTGTTACTCCAGTTCCATCTTCTCTTGCCTGGATTATCACAACAATCCCCCTGGCCACCCTGTTCCACCCTCAAGAGTGGCAGGCAAGAGCTTTATAAAGCACGTCAAATCATTTCCCTCCTCTGCTCAAAAGCCGCCAGTGACTTCGCAACTGAGAAAAATCCCTGGGGAACACTCTACTCAAATCTGCCCAATGCTAGCGGCCACCTCTCCTCTTTCTCCTCTCTTAACCCCACACTCTGTCATTAATTCTTTCCATTCCAACCCCTGGCCGGCCTCCGTGCTGCTCCTCAAACCCAACATTCCTGCTGACCTCCGGGCCTGGCTTCCACATCTCTGATCAAGTCTTTGTTGGAACTTAACATGGAAGTGAGGCTGTCTATGGGCAGTCTAACATCACAGCTCTCCCTCCCTGCTCTCTTCTTTCTGATCGGCCCCCAGTGTGTTGTGTTCCTTTATGGGACTAGTCACCATGTGATATAATACATGTTTTCCTTTATATTGAAAAATACATACATATAAAACTTCTTGCAAACTGAATACTACATATAACCAGTGCCCACAACTATAAGGGGAATAATATCTGTACCCTAGAAATCTCCTCATGTTCTTCTAGTCTCCCGGGAATATATTCTGACTTCCTTCACACAGCATAGATGATTTTTCCTATCCCCCCCCCATCCCGGTATTGAATTTCATATAAATGGGTTCATATGGTGACATACAACACATTCTAATGATCTGTTTACTATGTATTTCTTCCCCACTAACAGTATGAACATGTCGAGCATATAAGAATTCATTATATTCACTGGGATGCATCTAGCACCTACAAAGAGGATATGGCACAGAGTTGGCGACCACAAATATTTGATGTGCAAATGAGCCAAATATTGAACAAATAGAAATGAGCGTAAGAGAAGGACTCCGAATGCGAGCCAAGTCTTGGGAAATGGGCAGGAGTTTGAGGTGCAGAGCAAGATAAGAAAGGTATTGGGAGGGAGGCAGAGTCTTCATAAAGGCTTGGCACTGTGAAAAAAAAAAAAAACAGTCTGAAAGCCACAGGACTTGGTAAAGCCAGAGCCATGAGCAACGGCTGTGCCATGAGACACCGAGGCTCCAGAGCTGGGAAAACAGGCAGATGTCAGATCTCAAGGGCCTCGTATAAATAAACAGATGAGAGGATAGAGAGAGAAGCAAAATATGAAGGCTTTTTAGATAGTTCTAGGGCATTTTAAGGGTGTTGAAATTTAAGAAGATAAAAACAACAGTGTTTCTTTTGAAGTCAACCCATTAATAATGTATCCTGGTGTTCTCAGAAGGAAGTCCCAGGCCCACTCTAAGGTTCACAGACACCAAGTTCATCCGCATGTGTGGGAAAGACTTAGAAATCTGGCAGATAAAGTGAGCCCCCCTTTCTCCCTCTGGAGGAAAGGCCAGCTCGTGTGGGAAATGTAAATGCATTTTACATGTGTGGATGGACGGAGGGAAGGAGGTGGGAGCTCTGCCTCCCTCCCTGTGCAGACACAGCTCTGAGGAGACTGCACCCTGTTCCCCTCACACACAGAGAGGACAGAGGTGCCCTGGGCATTGTTACCACCGGCTACAGCTAACATTCGACACCAGTGTGCCTTGGACTTGAGTGTGGGTCAAAATCACCTGGAGGCCACGTCAAAAACCAGTACTGAGTCTCCCCAGGATTTACGTTCCCACAATGGGACCCAAGAAACCGTCCTGGAGTTCTCTATGGCGATGGTGTTGCTGGCCTGGGGAACCCGCCTGCATCTTCAACCAGGCAGAGCATCCAGCCCTCTGGAAGAAGGAGAAGGAGGCATTGGAAAGCTCACCGAGCTTCAACTTCCCCTTCTCATACTAGATATTCCTACAACTATATTTTATCAGATAAAATGTAGGGGGTCTAGTTAAATTTGATAAATAATATTAATGTATTTTAGATATATAATATTTGACATAGATGACATAATTGGTTACCAAAAAAATTTAAAATTTGTGTTCATTAGTCAAGATTTTGGTCAAATTACTTAAAGTTCTAATTTCTTCATATAGAAAGGGAGAGTAATAGCAATTATGTTGCAGGGCTGAATTAAGGTATTAAACACAGCAGATGTGGGCTGAGGAGATGGCTACATGAGCGTGAAGACCTGAGTGTGGGTCTCTGGCGTCCAAATAAAAACGGGGTGCAGCACTGCTCACATGTGATCCCAGCCCTAGGGGAGCAGAGCCAGGAGGACTCCTGGGGCTCCCTGCCTAGTCGGTGTAGCTGGATCAGTGAGCTCCAGGTTCAGTAAGAAAAGCCTATCTCGTCAGGCGGTGGTGGCGCATGCCTTTAATCCCAGCACTCGGGAGGCAGAGGCAGGCGGATCTCTGTGAGTTCGAGGCCAGCCTGGTCTATAAGAACTAGTGCCAGGACAGGCTCCAAAGCTACAGAGAAACCCTGTCTCGAAAAAAAAAAAGCGTATCTCAAAAATAAAGAGGAGAAGTAACTGGGGAAGAACACTAACAGTGGAAGAACACTAACAGCGCCCTCTGGCCTCCATCCTTGCACACGTGCATTCACACCCAAGCACGCATGTGTGCACACAGACACATATACACATATGTAAAGATGCAGCATGTGGTAAGTGGCCTGCAGCTGCTGCTATGACTACTTAGCCTGTCACACCAGAAAGCTGGAGTGGAGGAACAGAAGCCTCACCCGGAGGAAGAGTCCCCTCTGTCTGGAGGAAGAGTCACCTCTGTCTGGAGGAAGAGTCCCCTCTGTCTGGAGGAAGAGTCACCTCTGTCTAGAGGAAGAGTCACCTCTGCCTGGAGGAAGAGTCACCTCTGTCTGGAGGAAGAGTCCCCTCTGTCTGGAGAAGAGTCACCTCTGTCTGGAGGAAGAGTCACCTCTGTCTGGAGGAAGAGTCACCTCTGTCTGGAGGAAGAGTCACCTCTGTCTAGCGAGAGCTGTCACCCCTTTCCCCCAAGCACAGTCTTTTTCCAACCCAGGGAGACTCCACGTCACCACCATTTCTGACCTCAGGCTACAAACTCGTGCTCCTGGCACTTCTTAAAATCCCCAAAGTGCTCAGAAGTGGCCGCCACATTTGGCATTCGGTAAATATTAACGAGTGGAGGCTTCTGCGTGGTGAACGCAACCTGCTCTCACGCTTCCCCGCAGAGCTGCACTTACTTGGATACCGCCGGATGGATCTGATGGGTTTGTTGTTTTCATTCGTCTCCGTGATATGGCAGGTATATTTTTCGTTCAACTTGACGGGGTATTTGAGGACAGAGTACACTCTATACAAGCCGTTCATCTGCTCCTCCAGGACCTCCACCGTACTGTGGTTGCTAAGGTCCCTTTCTCCCCGGTCTAACCAGGTCACGTTGGGTGTGAGGTACCAGCCCTTAGATGTGCATGTAACCACATCTTCATCATCAATCTTGTCAAACTTCACCTGGGGAATTTCAGAATCTGGTTCAGAAAAAAAAAATAACAAAATAATTAGCTCCTTTTTTGTTTAGTCCTAGGAGGCTAAAGTCTTCACGGTTTATACTAACCCTATGGAGACAATATGTTCCTAGGTTCACCATAGCTAAAATTTTGGCCCAAGCATAGTGGGAGAAAAGAAGAATATGAGCATTCTCTTGCCACCTAGCCCTCTACTGCTGGTGTCTTTATTTGGGCGATATTTCCTTCTTGGTGTGGATTCACTTCATATTCTCCACTGACCTCAGAGTCCTGAGTTGAGAATCACAGAAGAGTCCATGACCACACCACTCTGAACGAACCCAATCTCATCTGATCTCGGAAGCTAAGCAAGGCCGGGCCAACTTAGTCCTTAGATGGGGGAATCCCAGAAGATAAGTAATAAAGCTGGGAAGTGGCATGAACCTGTAATTCCCACCACTCAGAAGGAAGGCTGAGGCAGGAGGATTGCTGTGAGTTCAAGCCCAAACCCACCTACAAAGAAAGATCCTGTCTCACTAAACAACAACAAAGAATTGAGGAACCTTTCTTCCATCTTCCCATCTCTTACCCTGGAGGGTGGCTGCCTCGCGGGACCCAAGGCCGCTTGGCTTTGTCAGAAAGGACAGTTTTCCATGAAACACTGGAGGATAAGGGTTTAACATTGGGGGAGTGTGGATTCAACCCAATCAATGTTTTTCAAACTAATTTTAGATTTTATGTTTTTTGTTTTATGTGTGTGTGTGTTACCAACACGTATTTCAGTGTACCATGTACATGCCGCATGCTCACGGAGGCCAGAAGAGTGGTTGGATTCCCTGGAACTGGAGTTACAGCCGACTGTGAGCTGCAGTGTCGGTGCTAGGAATAGAACCAGTGCTTTAACCATGGCGCTGTCTCTCCAAGCCTGAAACCTCTGCTTTGTGGTGAGAAGAATGAGGCCTACAGAAACTGATGGACTGCCCAAGGTCATACGGATTCAGAACTCAGCCTACTGATTTCCAATTCGGTGCCAATCACTCTGAATTGTGTCTGACTTTAGCGTAGTGTCAGGCGCGTGCATGCGTGCGTGCGGTGGGGGGGGGGCTATTACTGCCCCAGTTCATTCATATAATTAATGATGCTTCCCGGTACAAAAATCGTACCTTCTGTTCAGAGAAACAGTTTTAACTAAAGCAAATTGATATTCCATTATTCATTTTTTTTTTTTTTGCATTTTCGAGACAGGGTTTCTCTGGAGTTTTTGGTGCAACTAGCTCTTGTAGACCAGGCTGGCCTTGAACTCACGAAGATCTGTTTGCCTCTGCCTCCCGAGTGCTGGGATTAAAGGCGTGCGCCACCACCGCCCAGCAATATTCCATTATTCTTATCATAGAAATAAAGTAATTTGAGCTAGAAAAAATGATACCCTCCCCCCAAGAGAGAAAATTTAGAGTTTATGAAGAGCCCAGACTCGAAGCCAAGCTCGTCCACGAAGTCTCTTTACCTTCCACTATCAGCTTGACCTTATTCTCCCCTCTGCCGTTGGGAGTGACAGCCGAGCACTTGTACATGGCTTCATCCATGAAATCCACGTTTCGCAGCAGTAGGGACAGAATCCCCTCGGAAATCTCGTTCTGGTCCACAGAGACCCTTCCCTCATACAAGGCGTTCTGATCTTCAAGTTGCTCTGCGTTGTCGTAGAACTGGTAGACCACCTTTGTGAACACTTGGAAGAAGTCGTAGTGCGTGAAGAAGCGGTAAAAGTCGCGATTTCCCGCTTCGTACTCCTCTATAATGTCTTCTCGCTCCCAGTAGAACTCGAGGTCTTCCGTGCCCTCTATAAAGGAGAACTCGCAGTCGAGGGTCACGTCAGTGAACGGGTGGGCCCGCACCTCAGCTGCCGACGCTGAATTGTCAAAGAGGAAATGAAGTCAGTAAAGACAAGGGAGCAGACACTGGGTAAGGCACGACAGCAGTGGAGGCAGACAGATCCACTGCAGGGGACTGGTCATTTATAAAATCACAAGAAGCCTGGAGAAGTGAGCCCAAAGATGGGCAGGGAGGGCGCGGCTTGTCACGGGTGCTCCGCCTGCCCTGGCCTCTTTCTAGGCAAACAATGACACAGCAAAGCACGTCTGTCAGAGCTGACCGGACAGAAGCTGTGTTGCGGCGGGTGTTGGCTCCAACACCAAGCTGGGCTTGCCAGATTGACGCTGGCAAAGAAAACTGTCGCAGGCACCGTGCGCCACAACCATTCCATCTCTTCAGTCAGCTGCCAGCTCAGCCCTCCTGGAAACATGTCTGACTGACAGGGAGCATCGCTTGCTTCCAGAACCTTAACACTGAAATGTTCTTGAGAACATTCTTTACTCTCCGTTTCAGTGATCCAGGAAGGCACATTGGGATGGTAGAAAGATAGTTTATAAGTGAAAATCGTTCAATAAACTAACCTATTCTACCTGCCACAAATACCTCTCACTGGGGGCCTGATGGCTGTGGAGACCACAGCCATGGACTACATAGAACTCATGGATTCTTAGCATGGGGTAGACCCCTGGCATGTTATAGCTGAAGGTTGACAAGTCACCTGACTGGACATTTTCAAACTATTTCAGAGGCTGTCACCAGCAACAGGTGAAGAGTGTAACAGTGGGATTTCAACTTGCTTGCCTCTCTCTTCTCTCTCTCTCTCTCTCTCTCTCTCTCTCTCTCTCTCTCTCTCTCTCTCTCTCCCTCCCTCCCTCCCTCCCTCTTGTTCTCACTCTATCTCTCTTTGCATTTGTGTCTGTGTATCTGTCTCTGTCTGTCTTTCTGTGTTTGTCTGTTTGTCTGTTTCTCCTCCCCACCCCAAGAAATGCCAGGAATAAAAGGCGGCAGAACTGGTGAGTGGGAGGCTCGGTAAGGGTGTTGCGTGGTATAAAAAGCTAACTTAAGCACTAAGAGCAAATCAGGGTATCACGCTAAGTGGGCTAGGAAGCTTCCAAGCCATCAGCAAACTGCAGCCAGCCAGCCAGTAGAGGACAGAGACACAGTCTGCCCATCCCAGCATGCAGGGGTGCTGTCAGATACTCAGACAAATGTTACTATGGGAGTTTATGGAGACCATTTTGTGTTAGGTTAACAGTTGAAAGGACAAACTTGAGTAAAGCAGTTACCATCCCACTCTATCCGAATCCAGAATAGAACAAAACAGCTGACTTTCCTACCAGCCGTCAGGACGCCTGCTCAAAGGCCTGAGCAATCTTTTCCACACCTCATACCTGAGTGAGACATGGGCTCCTCTTGGGTCTCAGGTTCTTGGACTCAGATCAGATCACACCTCTGGCTTTCTCTCTCTCTCTCTCTCTCTCTCTCTCTCTCTCTCTCTCTCTCT